TATATGTATATATAATATATATATATGAAGTGTCCCAAAAGTCTTAGTGAAGTTTTAAGCTATAATAGCTGTATATGTTTAATACCCTGTATATGTTTTGAGGTATGGAGTAGAGGAGATAAAGGAACTCAAGATGGATGGTCTCAATTTTCTCAGTAAAGTAGAAGACAAGAACATTTGCTCCTTAGTAAACAAGAGGAGATGAGAAGGCATTAGGGCTTTGAAAAGAAAAGATAAGATATAGAACAGCTACTGAAAAGACTGGGAGAGGGAATAAAGGAAAAATAGAAGTTTTTCTGTGTGCTAGTGAGGACCCAGGAGAGATTAACCACATAGAACTGATCCAACCATTCTGGAGGGAATGCCCACCTATGCCCAAAAGTCCTTTTGTAAAACTGTGCATACCCTTTGATCCAGCAATACCACTTCTAGGTCTCTATCTTAAAGAGATTATAAGAAAGGAAAAACATTTATAGCAGCTCTTTTTGTGGTGGCAAAGAATTGGACATTGAGGGGATGCTCATCAATTGGGAAATGGCTGAACAAGTTGTGGTATGTGAATGTAATGGAATACTATTGTGCTATAAGAAATGATGAGCAGACTGACTTCAGAAAAACCTGGAAAGACTTAAATGAACTGATGCTGGGTGACATGAGGAACCAGGAGAACATTGTATACAGTAACAGCAACATTGTGCGATAATCAACTATGATTGACTTAGCTCTTCTCAGCAATACAATGATCCAAGACAATTCCAAAAGACTCCTAATGGAAAATGCTATCCAGATCCAGAGAAAGAACAATGGAGTCTGAATGCAGATTGAAGCATACTGTTTTCTCTTTTTTTGTTGTTTTTTGTTTTTTCTTTCTTATGGTTTTTCCCTTTTGTTCTGATTCTTCTTTGACAACATGACTAATGTGGAAATATGTTTAACATGATTGCACATGTATAGCCTATATTAGATTGCTTGCTGTCTTGGGGAGGGAAGAGGGAAGAAAGGGAAGGAGAAAAATTTGGAACTCAAAATCTTACAGAAATGAATGTTAAAGAACTATCTTTACATGTAATTGGGGAAAAAAATAAAATACTGTTAAGTGAAAAAGAAAGAGAGAGATTAGGCCACATAGTTTGCAGTGAACTTAGTTGTGTGTCTTCTTCCAGCAGCACTCAATAGATATGGGCTGAGAAGGTAGATAGTGAGGTGATCTAGAGTTGGGAATTGGCAGTAGCACAAGAGAGCAAGGGACGATGGGATGCAGGACAATATAAGTTGAAGTGATTGTCTATAAAGTCAAGTCTCCCTTAACAGGAAGAAAAGAGGAGCCAGAAAAGGGGTAATAAATTGAGAGAAGGGGGAAAGATAGAGGGACTTGTAGTAAGGATCAAAAATAGGTCTAACAAGAGGCAGAAGAAATGGAAGGGTAAGAGACTATGCCCAGAGATGGGGTTTCACTGTCCAAAATTAAAGTGATGCCTCAGCTGTGATGGTGTTCTAAGGTCTAACCGACCGTGCCTGTGGGTCACTGAGGTAGAGTAAAGCTGTAGGTCATAGGTGGTGAGATATCTGAGGAGACCTCAAGCTCCCAACTGTGAGGACAAGTTGGGCTGGGGAGATGATTGTGAGCTGGTCTCAGACTTCTTGAGAAAGGAGGGAGAGGGACTGTGGGAGTGGGTTAATCACAACAGCAAGGCTGCAGCCCAGATCACAGGATCACAGATCAGGAGTTGTTGGGGGCGGGGGGGGGGGGGGGGGGGGGGTTTGGAGGGCATTTGTTTCAATCCCTTCATTTTTCAGGTGAGGAAATTGAGGCTCAGCTCACTTTAGTGACTTGCCCAAGGTCACACAGGGAGAAGTGATAGAGCTGTGATTTGAACTCAGGTTCTGCACTCCCCCAAATTCAGCATTCTGTGTTTAATCATTGTCTCTATGCATTTGACTCATAGATCTTCACGTCCGGGCCAGATCTCCCCTGAGCTTCAGGCCCTTATCGCCATTGTCTATTGGATTTTTCAAACCAAATGTCCCAAAGATGTCCCAAAGATGTCCCAAACTCAACGTGTCTAAAATTGAACTCATCTTTCCCCCAAACCTTCTAGTCTTCCAGATTCCCTGTAGGTGCCTATAGAAGGCACCATCATCCTTCCAGTTGCCTGGGTTCTTAACCTCAGCATTATCCTGGGCTCCCCATTCTCCCTCACCCCAAATATCTAATCAATTGCTAAATCTTGCTGTTTTTACTTCCACAACATCTCTGAAATCCAATCTCTTCTCTTTACTCATAGAACTAACCAACCACCTTAGTTTGGGCCCCTATTGAACTCTCATCTTGATTGCAACAGACTCTTTTGTCTCCCAACCTCAGGCCTTTCCCTGCCACACCTATCCTACTGCCAAAGGGATTTTCCTTAAATGCAGATCTGGCCGTGTCACTCCCATATTCAATCAGCCCAGAAACTCCTCTGTTTAGCTTTTAGCAACCTTCCTACGTCTCCAACCCTTTCTTTTCAGCCTTATGGGACATTTCTCCCTCTTCCACACCTTGAGATCCAACTCAATTAGCCTCCTCTTTATTCATTGTGCATGACCCTCTATTCCCTCTCTCTGTGCCTTGGCCACAGCCATTCCCCAGGCCTGAATGAACTCCTTTATCTCCGTCTCACAATCCGTCTCTTCCTTCCAGTCAGTTCAAGCACCACCTTCTACACAAAACCTTTTCTGTTGCTTCTGTGTGCTAGTGCCCCAACTGCCTTGTGTTTAAACACTTTGCACTTATTTGTATTTATTCTCTTTATAATTACTCTGTGTATGTCTATATATGGATCCATTGTGTCCCTATTAGAACATCAGCTCCATGGGAGCAGGGATTGTTTCGTTCTTTGCATTGATCCCTATAGCATAGCACAGCGCAGAACCTGGCACACTGGGGATTCATAAATGCTTGTTGATTGATCGATAAAGGGAGATGGAATAGCCCCCAAAGCAGGAAAGGTTATCGCGTGATGCTGGCGGTGGCGATGGGGAACATTGGACACTGCCACCTCCTGTCATGGCGTCTTCTTCCTTTGTGTCTGAGGATATGAATCACAGAACTTCAGCTTGAAAGGAGCGAAGTCCAGCCCATTCCTCTAAAGCATGAGACAGATTTGGCCCTGGCGTGTCAGCTTCCCCTGTGGAGCCTGCTCCTTTCTGGAGTACCTCACCCCTCACAGAGCTCTCCTGGGCAGGACCCCCTTCCTCCTCCCCTCCACCCGAAGCAAACCTTCCTTCGGCTGCTCTTCATATTGCAGAAACCCGACGCAGCCCTTCGCTGCCCTAGTGACTCTTGTCAGACACTGTGGGCCAGAGTGAAGGGTGGAGCCAGGAGTCACCAACACCTGGGTTCAAAACTTGCTGCAGATCCTAATTCTGAACAGTATGACCCTGGGCAAGTCACCTCTCTGAGCTTCAGTTCCCTTGTTTATTCCTAGGGTTGTTGTATTAAACAATAAAATGTACATAAAACACTGTACAAACCTATACATAAGTGCTACGTAACTGTCACCTATCATCATTGCTATTATCAATATTATTATTATTATTATTATTATCTGTAAATGGGCTGCTCAGAGCTAAACAAAGTACTCCACACGTGGCCCTGCCTTGTACAGACAACAGTGGGACTGTCCCCGCAGACACCTGCCCCTCCTGCCTGTGGCCAGGCAGCGAGTTTTGACCAGACTTTTTAACTGCCTCAGCAAGCACGCTAGTTACTAGTTAACACTCATAGTGAGCTCATAGTCCCCTAAGGAGAAGCTTTCCCTAAAGAGGGTGCTTAGCAACACAGTCTTCCCAAGAGGACGAGGTTTCAGTGAGCACAAGATGGAAAGAGTGAAAAAAGAGGAGATTGGGGATAAAAGAAAGTTTACTAATTGAACAGGGTTTTAGAGGGTGTCATGGAAGGAGAGAACAGAGCAGTACTTTGGAAGTGATAACCTTGAGCTGAATGGTTAGGAGAGGAATGGGATAGGAAGCCAGAGAACGTCCCAGGACGCAGTGACACTGAATCACTGGGATCATGGGAGCAAGAGCTGAAAATCTGCTGGCCAGAGGCCTGGGAAATAACTATTGGTTGGAGCTTCTGCAGTCCATTGTCCTGTGATGGTGGAGTAGAGTGTTCCCTCCCTAAATACCAGGGATCGGGGGATGAGTGAGTGGCAGGAAGTTTATTCTAGAAGTCTGGGTCCCCAGAGTAAACTTAGATGGTACCAGCTCAAGAATGTGGAGAATGAGGCACTTATTTGGAGAGGCATTTGAGTCCTTGTCAGTCCTAGTATCTGTCCCAGGCCTAGTCTAAGATCTAGAGAAAAAAATGAAGATGAGATCAAGAAAAGACATGAACCCTGTAAATGCATGATTTTATCATTGTGGGCACTCTCTCCCAGATCGCACTACTTCACGCATTTGGAAGTGGTCCTCATGCGATGCAGTGGACAAGAAAATTAATCACCAACTTTCTGCTGATGAGTCTTTCCAAATTTAGCTGGGCTAATCCTGAGAAAACTGATACACAGTCATGCCCAAACCTGTAAGTGAAGCTTTTCTAGCTGGAGAAAATCTAAGGTCGCTTCCGTGTCACAATGAGACAGTGGGGAGGATTTTAATGGAGGAATAATAATAGGTGGTGCAGGGGATAGAGCCCTGGGCTTGGAGTCAGGAAGACTCATCTTGCTGAATTCAAGTCCAGCCTCAGATGCTTACTAACTCTGTGACCCTGGGTAAGTCACTTAACCCCATTTACTTCAGTTTCCTCATCTGTAAAATAAGCTGGAGAAGGAAATGGCGAACTACTCCAGTGTCTTTGCCAAGGAGACCCCGAATGGGGTCACGAAGAGTCAGACACAATTGAAATGACTCAACAACCACAAAAGATATGAATAGCGCAATATCGTTACCACATTGATTGATCCGCCACTATGACTCCAGTAATTTATTTTTGTGTTTATTGTGTGGGTTTTCAGCTCTACGACTTGATGACCATGGCTTTCAAATATCAAGTGTTGCTGTGTCCCCGGCCTAAGGATGTATTGCTGGTCACTTTCAACCACTTAGATTCCATCAAGGATTTTATCCGTGACTCCCCAGCCATCATGAACCAAGTGGATGAAACTTTTCGGCAAGTAATTGAAGTAAGGACGTAATCGGTCAATAAACCTTCAGCCCTGTTAACATTCTGGTAAATTCCATGGCCGTGGAGGCCTGCAAGTCTCCTAACCAAATTCCGAACTCTCTGACAAGAAGCTGCTATCTCAGGAAACATTTTAGGCATTAGCTTCAATTGTTTGCCCTTGTCAGTGACCACAGAAAGCAGCCAGTATTTTCTGTCCTCTTTGGAGAGGAGTTCCTAGAATCCTCGAGTCTCTGAGCCATAGTATACAGGATCTCAAAATGGTGTCTAATCCAACCTCACGCCCAGAGATCTCTTCCACCACATCCCCAACCAGTGGTTCCTCCAGCTTCTCCGGAGGTCGATAGTGAATGTTCTACCAGGTGTCCCCTGGTGTCAGTCTGGGTGCGAGTCTTTTCTCCATTAAGCTTTTGTTTCCTCTTCTGTAAAACTCGGGAATGGGGAGAGAGAGGAGGGGCTTAGGAAGACTGTAAGATGTCTCCCTTAGAGTTAGAACTCTGCTTTTTATTAAATTCTGGGGTATGCTCTCAGGAGCTTTTGGGGGGAAGACAAAAAGTACTATAAAGATATTTTAAAGGTATCTTTCTTTGATAATTTTTCCATGCTAGTTTCATTTTGTTTTTATTCTGTAACTGTTCCCTTGGGTAGCCCAGCTGTCATGGCTGCAGCTGCTCTGCTTTGCTTTTCTGGTCCATTCTGGATCCTTCATTTCACTGTGCACCCACCCGTGCCCCTTCCCAGAAAGGTCATGGGCCTTGTTTTCTCTGCTCTTTGGCAGGTGTATGGTTGTCTTTCTGCTGGTGAGTTCCATCTCATCAGACAGACCCTGCTGATTTTCTTTCAGGACATGCACATCCGGGTAAGTGGATAAACAGTCTCTTACAAGGTCAGTGAGCTTTAAAATGGAGCTGGTGTCAGAACACAGAAGTGTGGGTTTGGAGGACCCGCATTGAGAGGCAGCAGGGTCCAGGAAAACACTCTGTAGAGGGCAAGTACAGGGGACAGCATTCTGCCCTTCAGGTAAAGGTTTCAGACTCAGCCCTGCAATTTACTAGCGAGAGCAAACCATGTGAGCTGTCTGGGCTTTCCTCATCTGTAAAACAAAGACACTTGTACTGTCTACCTCACAGGGTTATGATAAGGAAAACACTTTTTAAACTGTAAAATTCTCTAGAAATGTGAGTCGTTGTTAATATCAACAACAATAATATTAGCATTAATATAGTAAGGGTCTATAGGTCCTACAGAGTCATCTATAGGTATAATTTTGTCAGGGTCCTTTTTTTATTTTATTCTATTATTGTATTCTGTTTTATTGATTCCTGTTTTTAAATCATACTACCAATCTTCTAGGGACAAATATCTCACTTGTTTCAATTAAACATAAAGACCATTCTGCCTCCATTTTCAGGAGAATGTGAGGTAATCTCCAGAGATCACCTCCTTAATCACCATTCTTCCTACAAGTGAAATTCTGATTGCAAAATACAGGATCTATGGTTAAATTAAGAAATACAAGTGGCTTTTAATATGGTTGATTTCTGACAGAAATTAACACAAGCAGCTTTTTTTTTTAATATAGTTACATCTCCACTCTTACTTTTCATTACTCCAGACACCTGGTCCTGACAGCTCAGTGCTCCGTTCCCACCACTCCTCACCCCATTTCCATGGGTCCTTTTCAGACACTCAGTACCAAGCACAGGACCTTACACATAATAGTTGCTTAATAGGTGATGCCTATTTAAAATGGAAAGTCAAGCCACTTTGTAAGATCACCTGATATGAGAATATTGTGTTTCACTTATAAATCAAATTTTAAAAGTCCTGAGGAAACCACAGTGCCAAACTTCTTTTTAGTCACGTCATATAAAAAATTAGTAATAGGTGATATTAAAAATAGATTTTTTGCAGTACATGAATAGCTATAGTTAATGTGATTCGCTTGTTAGAAGTCTCTTAACAGCTTTTAGTCCATGACACATCAAACTCCCAGTGAACAATGGGATAAAAAAAAGGATTTTCATTTGTGAAGAAGGCTGTAAAACAAGAATTCACACCTGACTCATTTGTGCATGGATGCCTTCCTCCTTATTGCCTTACACATTCCTCCTTACACTGATGACTGTAACAGCCCCAAGTTCTAGCATACTTAACCAGTCTCAGAAATGATTTTGTATACATTTGATTCTTAGAGTACTCACTTTGCTTGATACTAAAAATGATTATGTCACTACTGTATTTTTCCTAGGTGTCCATATTTCTAAAGGACAAAATCCAGAATTCAAATGGCCGTTTTGTGTTGCCAATATCTGGGCCTGTTCCATGGGGAACCGAAGTTCCTGGACTCATCAGGTGAATTCTCAGCAATAATGATTTGACAGAGGTTCTTAATACCTTTTAAACAATTAACTTCATGAGTACAGGACAGAGGAGACACAACTTGATATCATGTGGGCATCTTAGTGACTAAAAGTTTAATGTAAGTCAACAGTATGATATGGCTATCCCTCCCCCCCCCAAAAAAAAAAAAAACCTAAGGTTCCATTAATAGAAATTCAGTTTCCAAAGCAGGGAAGGTTATTTACACATCTCTGAACGGGCCAGATTACCTCCTAGAGTATTGTGTTCCACAGGAGAAACAATGATCAACCATCCATGGAAAGCAACCCAGCAGAGGGTGACCAGCATGGCAAGGGGTCCTCCTGTGTGAAGATTAGTTCAACAGACTAGTCAGGTTTAGCCTGGAAAGGAGAAATCTTAGTAGAAACATGATAACTATCTTCAGATATTTTAAGGCCCTTTATGTGAAAAATAGATTAAACTTGTTCTGTGGGAATTAAAAGAAAAGAATTTAGACTGGTAGGTAGGTTATGGGGAGGCAGATTTTGAATCAATATAAGAAATAACTTTCTCTTAGTTAGAGGTATCCAAAAATGGAGTGGGTTAGTGAGCTCACGATCACTGGATATATTATACTGAGGCTTAATGACCATTGGTCAGAGATGATGTAACTCTTGGTGATCTGTGTATCAGACAAAGATTTGGACCAGGTAACTTTCAGTTCTCTTCTTGTTTTTTCCTCAGTTCTCTTTGAACTCTGAGATTTGTTTTTGTTATAAACCAAGGCCTCAGTCATTGGCCTTAACAAGACAGAGTTCAGTAAAGTTTCCCTCTACAAAGCACACTTCTACCCTATGTGGTTATAAAAAGCATTAGAGCCTATCCAGTAACATTGGGAGCAATGTTTTATAGGCAAAAACAGCAACTAATTATTCTCTAGTATAAATAATAAAGCACATAAAGGTCTTTGCCCCTTGGGATCATTCTGAACCATTTGTTGTGTTGTAGGATGTTTAATGACAAAGGAGAAGAAGTGAAGAGAGTGGAATTTAAGCATGGCGGACAGTATGTCAGAGCACAGAGTGAAGGTTCTTTTGATCTTTATGGAGACAGAGTCCTTACACTAGGGACAAATATGTAAGTAAACTCTATCTTCCTGAAAGAACCCGAGTAGAATGGCTTTTAATTAAAAGCCTCTTTGAGCCTAGCAACAAAAGCCACTGATAGAGGCAGAGATGGCTCTCTTCCCCCTGTGGAATGAGCACAGATCCTTGATCTTGTCATAGAAACTAAGAGTACGACACTGAAAAGAACTCTGTAGGTAAAGAAAAAGGCACCAATCAGCCTGGAAGAAATCATGCCCTACAGCAAACAACCAAAGAGGTAGTGACCCTGTATTGTTGTCTGCCTTGAAGCTATCCCCTGAAGACCACTGGACCTTTCCTTTGGACTTGCAGCTAGAGCCTCCAATATGTTTCTGCCCTTAGTGGAAGGAGAGCTTCTTTTTGTATCCCCAGCATTTGCATATTTTTGTTGTTCAGTCATTCAGTCCTGTCCAGTTCTTCATGACCTGTGGACTGTAGCACACCAATACTCTCCATGGGGTTTTCTTGGCAAAGATACTGAAGTGGTTTGCTATTTCCTTCTCCAGTGAATTAAGGCAACAGAGATTAAGTGGCTTGCCCAGGGTCACACTGCTAGTGAGTATCTGAGGTCATATATGAACTCAGGTCTTCCTGACTCCCAGCCCAGTGCTCTATCCACTGAACCACCTAGCTGCCTCAAATGTGCATTTGCACATAGTAAGCATTTAATAAATACTTTCTCATTTACTCTTTTGTTGATCCAATAGTGTGCATTTTTTCAGTTACACATACTTATCACATTTGGCCCTATTTAGGGATGACTTTAAAACATGAAGGGAGATGCTTCCCAATTCTGTGTTTCCTTTTTTTGGTCATTCCTGAAGGATTGAAAATTCTGAATGTTTGATACCCACTTAGTAATCCAGCATCCAAATACCTTTCCAAAATCCATAGACCTAAGAAGACCATACTCTTCACTCATACTCAGTGCCTCAAAGTAACTCATGTGGGAATTGTAATGGGGAATAATTAGGAAGTCTGTGAAATGATACAGGAACCAGGAAAATAACTACTTGTTACTGATACCAGATACAGCGTTAGTCGGCCAGTGGAAACGCATGTGTCTGGAGCATCAAAGAACTCAGCTTTGAATACTAAGGTGAGCTCCTCTTTACCGTCCAGTGTTACCTGCCATTTTACCTTTAGTCTATGTTGAACCTTTCCTGTGAACATTGCCTGCAGCAGTCAAGGTGGAGATTTGGGCTGTTTGGAGTCTAAAACAGACGTTTGCCTCAGTGCTTGTCCTCTTCTCGGGTCCATCAGAAGTGTCTGCCCATTTAGAATGTGCCCTTCCTAACCTCCATTTAAGGTGTGCAGTTTCAGTGAAGAGATGTAAATAACTCAGACCTTTGCCCGACAAACCCAGACCCCACACACCACATCATATGAACCAGTGCCCTTAAGCCAGTGGTTACTATAACTTGATACCAGCACTTCTGTGGATCCTCTTTTTCTAAAAGTGCTTCTCTGTTTAGTGATGTGGGGCTTGAATTCTAAGCAAAGTTTTAAATTTCCTTATATATAAATTCCCAGTGCTTTGGTAAATAGCTAGTTATGGAGTAAGTAACTTTTACCACTGATCAGTCCTCTAGTGCCTCGGTAACATCTCTCACCACCAGAGGGCAGTATGAAAGCTCATCCAAAGTGAGGCTTGGGAGCAAGCCCTTGTTCCCGTAGATTTCATTGATAGCACCAAAAGAAGAAAAAGAAAATAAATAGACCCTAAAGTAAAAGGCAAAACTCTCACCTTTACAAAGGGAAAAACTCTGTAAAGAAAGGGTTGGCACTGCCGCAGCCAGGGCTTTATCTGGCCTCTTGTCTCAGAGCACGTCACTGGAGCCATTCCAAAACCTGTCATGGAGGCCTAGTGCATGTCAGCTGGGCTTGTCAAGTGAAGCCCCTCTACTTAGGGTTCAGATGACTGCTCTCTTATGATGAAGAGCTTGCATCTGCTACTGTTGGAGAATGGTTAGAGGCATTCCCAGGCTTTCTAAATGGACCTAACTCACCCCAAAAATCATGTTTTATTTTTATTTGAGCTATATTTTCCTTTATTTGAAATGTTAACCCCAAACCTGTGTGATCTGTTACTCTCTCTGAGGTTTGTAAGTATGAACACCTTCACATAGCTAAAAAGCATGAAATTGTTTTAATAGGAGAGCACTGCCCCGAACTCTCTTGCTAAAGAAGAACTGAATTTCTTGGCCAGGTTGATGGGAGGAATGGAGATTAACAAAAACAGCGGCCCTGAACCTGGATTTCGGTTGAATCTGTTTACCACTGACGAAGAAGAAGAGTATGTTTTCCTCCTATTGGTACTTTGGTGGGTCTGTCAGGATAGGTACTCTCTCCCTGTACCGCTTCAGAATACAGCCCTCCAAGCTTTCTGCTTCTCTGCTGAGAGAGAGAGAGAGAGAGAAACAGAGACAGAGAAAGAGATCATGTTTATGAATGTAATACTTGGATTATACATTTGTTGTCCTTCATCTTGCTGTATGAGTGGCCAATCTCCTGGTCATACACATCATATCATAAAGTGTTTTGTACCCCTTCTCATATATGTCACACATATATGGGAGGCAGCAAGACATAATGGAGAGAGCATTTGACTTAGACTCAGTAGACCTGGGTTCATGTCTTAGCTCAGAAACTTAGTGGCTGTATAAACGTAGACAAATCACTTAAGTGCCCAGAGCCCATTCCCTCATCTCTAAAGGGAGATGACTCCACACTTCTCTCTGAAACAAAGGCCCATCTTTTTGACATCTCTGTCCTTATGATGCTGAAAGGCCACATTAGAGCAGTGGATTAGTCATTAGAATGAGTGACTTGGGTATGCTGAAGCTGCAGCATAAGTCCAGTAAAGAACTGAGGGGGGAAATCACATAAAAGAAATTACCTAAGAAACATGACCCAGAAAGGAAGTGGGCTAGGGTTGTATTGAAAGTGTGTGGTGACTGAGGGATGACCCATGGCCTCCAGTGGTACCCACACAATGTCAAGAGATCTAGGAGGGCACTCCACATGTCATGGAGACTAGGACACAGGATGAGATGTGTGACCTGCAATGGTGAAGGAAGGACCTACTGGAGAAAAATAGGGATGACATACCACACAGTGAGGAAAGGCGCTTTCCCAAAGCACTATTGAAATGTGAGCTCTTCTTGGCATTAGTAGCGTGCTGCAGCTACTTACCCTCACTGCGTGTTCTTCCTTTGACCTCTGAGTTACTTGCAATTTTGATTTTCTGAGATCCTGTCCTTCTATGATTTGTGGCCATGTGGTATTACTAACAACATTTAAGAGATGGGCTTTTGTGGCACTGAGCAGTCTGGAATTAAAGTGCTACACAAGTTCTCAAATGTGATCTAGCCTCATCTCCTCATTTGCAAGTCTAGATCTACCTCAGGACAGCAAGCACTGCTGAGCCCAGAAGTAAGGAAAAGGACATAGGTAAGGTTTATAGTGGGAACCTGTGCAGGGCATTAATTCCAGACTGCTCAGTGCCACAAAAGCCTATCTATTTCTATGGAATATAATTATTTTCCTAGGCACACTGTGTGGTTGCAAATCATAAATGGCATGAATTCAAAAGAATCAAAAGTATATGTGTATAATTATAGTTATATATTTATAACCCTTCCTCAGAATCAGCATGGAGGTAGATTACTTTCCCCAAATTTACCAGTCTTATGATGTCAGTGGCTAGTGACCCTGAAAAATAGGAAGGCAAACAAAACTAACTCAGCAGTCTGCTCATCAAACTACATGTCATAGTCTTGGAAATATGTACTTTTCATCCACTTTATAATTCTGGTATTGATGGTCAAACTAATCCATTTTATTCCTGTTGTTGTTGTTATTCAGTCATGTCTGACTCTTCATTACCCCTTGGACCACAGCACACCAGTACTGTCCATGGGGTTTTCTTGGCAAAGATACTGAAGTAGTTTGCCATTTCCTTCTCCAGTGGATTAAGGCAAACAGAGGTTAAGTGACTTGCCCAGGGTCACACAGCCAGTAAGTGTCCGAGGCCAGACTTGAACTGAGGTCTTCCTGACTCTAGGCCCAGCATCCTATTCTGTGAGCCACCTAGCTGCCCAGCTGTTTTATTCCTACTCCATAAAAATAGAGTGATTGGGCTAGCAATTAGGTGACTGCCCATCAGCGGCTCCTTCGAAAGTTCCTCCAGCATGGCTTTAAATAAGGGGATGTAGTTGACAGCAATAAGCAGTGTTGTTGTAAGGAAGCACTGGTCATTTTGGGGAAACCTGCAGGAAATTAGGAACCAATCTCTTTCTTCTTATGTTTCACTTGAGAAAACATATCTAAACTCTAAAAATGTGTTACTGTTTTTCTTCCTACCCTTTGTCCTTAGGCACGCAGCATTGACCAGGCCAGAAGAGTTATCCTACCAAGTCATCAACATTCAGGCAGCCCAGGTGAGTGAGTACAGGGCACCACGAAGCAGGGAGATGACTTAGCTTGGAGGAGCAAGAACCTTATAATAGGACCTACTTTGTATGGAAAACAGCTTGGATGGGAGATAAAAGTGGGGTGGAAAAGAATAAGAAACCCCCTCAGCCAAACAGAGGAGAATTGTAATAATGAACAGTGTAGGAGAGAAGAGGAGAGACTCCTCTAAAGAAAAAAACCCCCAATTAACTTGATGCCAGGAAGAGCATTGGATGGAAAACTGGGAAACTCAGCTCCTAGTGCTGCTACTTCCCTTTACTTGCCAGGTGACCTTGAGTAAATCTCTCTCTCCACCTCAGTTTCTTCCACTCCAGAGTCAAAATCTAGTTCTTTTCATCACTTCACATCTTGAATTTTAAATATTATTAATAACCTTTAAAAACCAATTCAAAATCCAGCTTCAGATGCTTGACACTTACTAGCTGTGTGACCCTGGGAAAGTCACTTAACCCTGATTGCCTCACCAAAGCCAATTCAGTTTAACAAATATCTATTTTAGTTCAATAAACATTTATTAAATGCCTGCTGTGTGCCAGACACTGTGCTAAGTGTTAGGAATACCAATAAGAAAAAAGAAAAATGGAGGCAACTAGGTGGCGCAGTGCATAGAGCATTAGCCCTAGAGTCAGGAGGACCTGAGTTCAAATCCGGCCTCAGATCAGACACTTGACACTTACTAGCTGTGTGACCCTGGGCAAGTCACTTAACCCCAATTGCCTAAAAAAAGAAAAGAAAAAATAAAAATGGCGTCCCTGCCCTCAAAGAGCTTACAATTTAACAGGAGAAAATAACACATAAAAGGAGGCTGGCAAGCAGGGGTAGGGTGTGGGTTGGAACCAGGTAGAGCAGCAGATGCAAAGTAGAGTGAGCTGAAGGTCCAGTTACTGCCCTCTATAAAGGAGGGCTTTGGGAGGAATTTGATACCCCACTTTCCAGCCCTCCAATCAGAAGAGAGCGGAGACTGAGGGCGGTGGTACCCAAGGCTTCAGTTAGCAGCATGGTGGTGAGGTTAGAAGTGATGAGCTTATCCTGGGAGGGGCATCTTGTTCTGTGAAGTTGAAATCAGGCAGGATAACAGATGCAAAGTATGGTGAACATTTACTGCCGGTAAGGCCCAGTGCTGGTCCCTGAAAGGCCAACCCCCAATAGAAAACAGCCCCTGCCCTCAGAAGGCTAACAATATAGCAGGAAGATAAGACAAGACAGGCCATTTCTATACAAGCCAGAACATAATCAGTACCATTAGGGAGCTATGAACAAAAACACTGTTTAGGTTAAGAGAAGGAAAGAAACCCCCTAGTCAGAGCAGATGGGGAACTAAAGTTTACTTACTACCTGGAGTTGTTAGTGACCTGACATGATATACTGTGTAACAAGATAGAACTGTTCTCTCAAAACAGACTTCCTCCTGGACCCTGGGCCAACCAAGCATCCTCGCACGCTTTCTGCTCATTTCTGCCTTTACTGTCGTTAACAGGACCAGCAAAGAAATGAGGAGCTAAGTCGGATCATGGGGGAGTTTGAGGTCCACGATCAGCCCCAACAGAGCACCAGCAAAGGAGACGATTTGCTGGCCATGATGGATGAATTGTAACAGTAACCTGGCAAGCTGGGGGTCCCACCTACAGCAGAGACTGCTGGACCATAGCAGCCTGAGACCGGACCAGGACCCTCGAAGATGCTGCTAGTTTTCTACCAAGAGGAACCTTGATGTCTCCTGCTTTTTTGTAGTGTGACCAACTGCACACACTTCCTTCCAAAAGGCATACACACACACACGCACACACTCAGCTAAATTCATTCTGATTTTCAAACCTGACCTTTCCGTTTTCTTCCCACGTGTTTCAGCAGCCATCTGTGGCTGAGCAGGCTCAGATCCCAGCCCCAGAGTACCTCAGAGCAGGATCACGTGCGCCTCCTCTCAGCTTTGCTCCCTCGTCTCGCCCGTGGGAGGTCTGGATCTTGTCAGCATCTCTGATTCTTAATGGGGAATTCTGCCTCATAGGGGGTTTGGAAAGCTCTCTTCTCCCTAGTGTAGTAGGAGCAGGAATCTCAGGGAGGCCGAGTAATCAGGGCTGTGTCCTAAACAGGGACTGGGGAACATGTGGAGAGATACAGATATGTTGCTATATATATATATATGAAGAAAATATTTTGGTTTTCAGCATGGTCTGTGCTCTTTGTCCACGGGCTTCCTCTATCTTTGCCATCCCTGGGCTGGCATACCGACAACCAGGAGGTCATGAGATGTGTCTCACAAGTCCAATGCTTTGTGCTCAGGAGAATGAGATACCACAGAGAGCTGTCACCTTGCCTTTCGATTACCAGCCAAGCAATTTCCCTTCTGGAGGAAGATTCCTGAGTCTAATTAGGGCTCACTTAAAGTATTCATAGGCTTTGCCCTCTTTCTTTTCAGGAGATTGAAATCAATTCAGCTTCTTGCTGCTGAAGTAGGAGTGATCTGGGGAGTCCCTCCCTCCCATCGGCTAGACTGTAGCCTGTGGAAGCTAGCCATGGAGCATGCTTGGGGATGGGCCTGCACCTCAGCCCCTTCGGGTGAACCAGATGTGCTCTCACTCAGTGCTGAAGGATTCGCACTTTAGAACGAGGCAGTAATCCCTTATCAGTCCTTATGAACCATGGTTGGTTCAGTTCCAAATAAAGTATATAGGTTAGACTTAAATTATTTATATATAGGAAGCATCCAGCTTGGTGATGTAGGACCTCACGAGGGGTGACTTGGCTTCTTCCCCTCCTGTAGCCCCTTTACCTGTCCTGTCCGAACTAAAACATGCCTCTTCTGCAGTGAGAACAAGGGTAGAGGTCACCCTATTTTCATCTTTAAAAGGCTATTATCAGATTTATTCCTAGAACTGTGGGCTGTGTCCTGGCACTGGAGGAGGGTTTTGATATGAGTTAATAAGTCTTCTTTACAAACCAAACAAATTTAAGTTGCTTCCTGCTCATCTATCTCACAAAAGCACACCCCCCTCCCAGTAAAGTGTGTGGTAGATAGGGGGTAGCATGCATTAACACTCTTCAAGGGTTTACAAAGTGCCTTCTGTTCAGCCCCTTCCTTTGACACAATTTGGGCTCCCTTTGAAGGGGGTAGTTTGGCTGGGTGCTAAGCAAGGGGGAATTGTTCCAGCCTGTTTAAAGGCTAGCTCCTAGCCCTTTGTTTCAGCCTGGCTGAGCATCCAGTACAAAGCCAGGTTTTAGCGGCTGCCGGGAGCATGTCCTCTGGGCCCTTGGAGGTGAGCCACAAACTACCACCAGAGGTGGCCACCTCCCGGTAACATATTCCTGAACGATGCCAGCGATTTCAAACAGATCTGTCTTCTTGGTAAATAGACAAGATAAAAATCTCTAGCCCTAAGTAGCTCTTTGATGAGGCAATCTTTTGGCTTATTGCATCCCTCTGGACTTACATCAATGCTGAGAAAGTGAGTGTAATTCCTTTGTGTGGGGCAGTAGGAGTGTCCAGAGGTCACAAGGGGACAAGGGGTAAGTCAGACATAACAGAGAGGGTGGGTGGCAGGAATAAAATGCTCTGAACTCTATTCATTTAACCCCAAACCAAAGGGAGCAGAGAGAGAATGGTGGTACCACGAAGCCCCCTTTTTATGGCAGTTTAAGACTGTTGGTGTAAGGAGACCACCCAACCACCTATAGGTTTAGCTTTCAGTTCCAAGTGAACAGTATGATAGTATTGGCTACCAGGAAGGGTGTCCTAAAACTGAGGGGGTGAGGAGGTATAGAAAGTGAGACAAATAAGAACAATCTGCAGCCAGCACATCCTTAGTTAGCTTCAGTCTAGGCCAGAAGGTAGACCAGCATAATCCAATGGAAGGAGGGCAACATTACCCGAGTTCAAATCCCAGCTCTGTCTCTTACTCCCTTTGTGACCTTGGGCGAGTGATTTCACCTTTCTAGGTCTATTTCCTCATCCATTAAAAGATCTGAACTTTCTGGTCTAAATCAATGATCCCATCATCTTGTGGGTCACCCAAGAGTACCCAGGCCTTCCCTGTCTGTGTTACAAAGCAAAACTCCCCTTTTTCTGAAGTTGTGGACAAGGAAGCCTCAGGAAGTGGGGTCTGCCATACCAAACAAATCCCAAAAAAAGCATTCACCCTTGTGACCCAACCCCAAAGCAGCCCAAATGCTTCTGCCCACTCCACTATTCTTCTGCTCTACCACAGATCCCAGTTCCTCCATGTAGAGGATAGTTTTTGTAGTAGCTGCAGCCCAAACCAAAAAAATGGCTACCTAATTACCTTCTAGCGATGAGACTGTCGCATTTTTTAAAAATTATAACAAATTTACTTCATCCACTTCAGTCAACAAACATTTATTAAGCATCAATGTGAAATGCAATGTGCCCAACACTGTATGTTAGTCATTTCATGGGTTGATGTATCCAAAAAAAAAAAAAAGGCTCCTTGGTGGCCCGTTTTCTGTTGAAGAACCTCCCTGTGCACCATACTGTTTTCTGAGACGCATCTTTGTCACCAGATCTGAATGCAAAGCCTTTCCAGCTTGGTTAGACCTGAGCAAACTCAGTCTCTGATTGATGGCAAAATCTTAGCGAATGAAGGACCACCACACCCCAATAGGGCAGTGCAGCAGATGGCTGCCTTTCATGGATCTCAAAGCGTTTTCATTGACGTTTTCTCATTGGATCCTCCTAGGCTAATGTAGTGAATAGAGCCCCGGACTTGGAGTTAGCAGAGAACTAGCCCCAAATCAGCTTCACCACCTTTCACATGTAAGTCATTTTAACTCCCTGACCTCAGTCGCTTGCTTCCACTCCAACAGGAATAACACCACCTACCATCCTCAGCAATGAAAATGGACTTTGTAAACGTAGGAGCCCTGTCTGTGTTGAAACCAACAACAAGCCAGCGAAGTAGGCTGTGTGGGTGTTGTTATCCCCATTTTACAGATGAGGGAAATGAGGCCCAAGCAGGTTTTGACTTACCAACCTGTAAGCAGTAAAGTCAGGACTTGCCTGAGGCTTTTCTGATTCTAACTTCAGGGCACTAACCATTCTATTACCCTGCCTCTCAGTATTCCTGTCTGTAGGAGGTTATAGCAATAGAAAGAATGTTAATGCCCAATGTCAGAGTAAAAGAGCAATGTTAATGCCCAATGGCAGAGCAAAGCCCTCACCTTTGCTCTTTGCCAAACCACAGATTGAACACTCACCCAGAAAAAATTTGTGAAAATAAATAAATAAAACAGTCATCATGGAGAGGGCAGTAATCCCTAGTGGATGGAGTTGCTGGGCTTGGAATCTGAAAGACCTGGGTTTGAATCCCATCTCTAATGCTTGTTAGCTGTCACCATATTATTTAACCTCTCAGCCTCAGTTTCCTTTTCTGTAAAATGAGGAGAATAGCACCTACCTCACAGGGTTGTTGTGAGGTTCAAATGAGTTCCTGTCTGTAAAGAGCTTTGCAAACTTTCAAGCATTAAATAAATCAGCCTTTGCTATAAAGATGCAAATTTCAAAATATGTACCCTTTCTTTAGTTACATCCTCACTTTTGCCTTTTTCCCCCGTGTGTGTGTGTGTGTGTGTGTGTGTGTGTGTCCCCAGAGCTTAACATAGTGCCTGGCACAGAGAAGGCACTTTTTTCTCTTTTGCTAGGTAATGGGGTTAAGTGACTTGCCCAGGGTCACACAACTAGTAAGTGTCTGAGGCTGGATTTGAACTCATGTCCTCCTGACTCCAGAGCCAGTGCTCCATCCACTGCGCCACCTAGCTGCCCCTCAGAGAAGGCACTTAATAGAAATAGAAATAGAAATTTGCTGATTGATTGACCATCCTTCCTCAGCTGCTGCATGGCATCCATCGTACAATATGTCCAGCAAGGAATGGGTTGCAGGAAGGTGCTGGGGAATCAGGTTGGGAAACTCCAACTCTTCCTGAGTCACGTCTTAATCATGTAATTGGATTTGAAGTCAATTCCCAGAATATCAAGACACATCCATTTTCAAATGTAAATATGACATGAACACACCAAATCAAAGCAATCTGAGTTGTGGGATGACCCCAGCATCTCACCTCCACCCTTTGGGTTCTCTCCAATTTCTAGGTATTTGGCATCTGTCCTCTGCAGCCAGAGTCAAGGCTGCCCTTCAATTAATAGGAAGGGGAGTTGTTAAGGAATACGAAGGGCTAGACCAGACCTGTGGTTTCCTGACTACGTTTCCCGCTGTGAGAAAGCCAAAACCGTGGTTGGGAAAAGGTTCACACTATGTCCTGGACTAGATTAGAATCCATGAATCCTAAATTCTACTACTGCACTTTCCTCAAGATTCTACCCTTTTTGATAAAAAAAAAAAAAACATAAAAAATTCCTTTTGAAACTCTGGCAAGCATGCTTGTAACGAAAGGAGCTACCCACTGGGCTGTCCAGGGTTTTCCCATTTTTTTCTGCCCATGTCAATCAGTCTGCAAGCGTTAAACACCTACTGTGTACAAGACACTGTGCTAAGTGCTGGAAAAACAAAATAATAGCTCCACTGTAGTACTTTAAGGTTGTCAAAGCATTTTACACATGCTGCCAATAAATATTTATTAAGCAACTACTTTGCACTAAGCCTTGAATATTAACTCATTTGGTCCTCACAACAACCCTGGGAGGTAGGTATATTCCTATTTTATAGAAAAAGAAACTGAGGCCAAGAGGTTTAAGTGACTTGCCCAGGGTCACACAACTAGTAAACATCTGAGTCAGAATATGAACTCAGGACTTTCAGATGACTCTCTCACTTTGGTTATCGTTGGTCCTTCATTCCGAAAGAGGGCCATGACATCAGGAAGGGGTGATGCCCCGTGACTTGGAAGTGAATTGGATTTAAGTGAGGCAGGGCTGTGCAAAGTCACCAGCCTCACTTTCTCCTCCAGAGCCATCTGGGTCCAGCCGAAAGATATAGATCAGGACGACTGGAGATGGCCTCCTGTCCACTTGGAAACCTGGCCTCAAAGGGATCTCATTCCAATGGCTGAGACAACCTACAAACAACTACATACATATGAATCCTCATTTGCTCAAAAGCTATGCCTATGGGAAAGTTCCAGAGAGAATAATCACTAGGGGGGTGACCACAAAGTGTGATGATTTTTTTAAGCCCAACCCTCACATGAAATCAGCTGTGAGGGGTGTGGAAATCATGATTTTCTTTTCTTCTAGTACCACAAGTGTGTCTGTCACAGGGATTACAATAGGTAAGAAGAATGAGGACATTTAGCACGCCTCTCCTCTCCGAAGCTAATCTCTTCACCTACACATAAATTCCATTCCTACCTGACTTCAGAGAGCTAAATTTCATCATGTATTCCCTCCTTTCTCTCTAGGGGAAGGAGACAATTCCTGTTCAGGTATGGGTTGGACTATGGCTTGTCAATTCTCCCCCAGCCCCAAGATTCCACGTGATTCTTTGATTTTCAAGGCTTCCCTCTCCACCACTGGCTCCTTCCCCTCTGCCCTAAAATTCACACAAGCCTCTCCCATTTGGGGGAGGGGGAACCCTTCTATGACACTGCTCCTAGCCACTGTCTCTCTCTGCTCTAGTTGGCATTTACAGGGTAACCTAGCCCCTCCTACCTTTCCAGTCTTCCTACATCTTCCTCCCTGACGGGTACCCTTCAACTGATTCAGCATCTCTGGCCTCCTGGCTGTTCCATGGATAACATCTCACTACTGCCATTTTCTCTGGATGTCCCCCATTTCCAGAACCCTCTCCCCTCTCGACTCTGACTACTGACTTCCCCGGCTTTAAGTCCCAACTAAAATCCCACTTTCTGCGGAAAGCCTTCCCCAACCCTCTTAATTCGAGGGCTTTCTCTCTTTTATTTCCTATTATTTCCTATTCTTTACTTATCCTGTATATAGCTTGCTTTGTACATATCAGTTTGCATGTTGTCCCCCCTATAACACTGTAAGCCCCAAGGCAGGGACGGTTTTTGCCTCTTTTGTATCCCCAGTGGTTAGCACATGCCGGGCACAGAGTAGGTGTTTAATAAAGGTTTACCTATTGATTAACTTTTACAACAAAAGTGAAGCTCAAGGTCTACCCTAATTTCCTCCACCACCACCCTCACGTAATTAGGATTCTCAGTTTGCCACTGAAAAACTCACTCAAGAGTCTAAACCCTAGGATAACCCCGGTTCTCCTTAGCCAACCTTTGACCACACCCCACTTTCCCACACCTGTCACCGCCTCAACAGCTTCATTCACCCAATAAAACACTGGCTTCGCACCTACAGATAGGAAGATAAATATAGACCTGCCCTGCGGGAATGCACAAGCCCCAGCTGGGCAGAAAAGACAAACTTCAGTAAAGCTGCAAAACTGCAGGGCGGTAATAGGGCTATTAATAGCTCACACGTCTACAATCCTCAGTTTGGTGCCATATACTGTATTATTCCATATTATACAGGAGAAAGGGGTTAGCTAGGTGGCGCAACGGATAGAGCTCCCCGGCCTGAAGTCAGGATCCCGATTTTAAAACGGAGCACTGCCACTTACTAGCTGTGTGACCCTGGGCAAGTCACTTAACCCTGTTTGTCTCAGTCTCCTCATCTGTCGACTGCAGAAGGAAATGTTAAACCGCTCCAATATCTTTGCCAAGAAAACCCCAAATGGGGTCACAGGGAGTCAGGACAGGACTGAAAAACGACTGAAAAAGAACAACAGGAAAAAACTGGGGCCAAATCAAGTCAACAAGCATTTATTAAGCGCGGTATGGGGCGCCGGGCTAAACGCAGGGATTAAAAAGATGAAAGTGGCCCTGCCCTCGGGGAGCTTACAGTCTACAAGCCTGCTGTAAACCGGATAAACTGAGGACCACCAGGGGGAAGGCGCCGGCATTAGAGGGGCTCAGGAAAGGCTTCGTGGAGAAGGTGAGACCTGGGAAGAAGCCAGGCGAAGTGATGAGGAAGAGGGAGAGCACTCCAGGCATGGAAAAGTCCAGCCAACGGGAAATGCCGGGAGTCGAGAGCTGGAGTCGTGTTCGAAAAACAGCAAGGAGGCAAAATCAGGCTTGGGAAAAAGTCCCTTCCACTTCACTGTACTGAATTGCGTACAAAGCGCCAGAAGAGATGACACACTAATAGAAGAGATCAAGGAGAACTCCGCGGAGGAAGAGGGCTTTGAAGCGCCTACGGGCGGCCACTGGGAATGGGAGTATATGACGCCTAGCAGCGGGGCTCTCCGCAGCCCCAACAGGCGTGCGCAGGAGTCAGCTGGAAGGAGCTCGGGAAGGGCCTAGCGCCGCGAAGCCTTTTGGGACTTGTAGTTTTTCCGCTCCCGCGGCGTTCGCGCGACTGGGTCACGTGGTCACGTCCTCCCATCATCCGTGCCTTTCTATGGCCCTGGAGGCCAAGTTTGGTGAGGTTGCGCTCGGCTTCTCCATGGCCCCTGGAGACCTCCCGGGCCTGAGAGAGAGAGAAAGAGAGAAGGGCAGGGCCCTGCGTGGTGGGTCCTCAGGGCGGGGAGGAGGCCTAAATGGAGGGAGCTGGGGGGGGGGGGGGGGGCCCCGGGGGGGGGGGGGGGGGTAAGGTGGGGGGGGGGGGGGGGGGGGAGGCTCCCGGATAAGGGGGGGGGGCTCCTGGGGAGGCGTGGAAGCCCTGAGACGGAAAGTGGGGGAGGAGACCCTGCAGTGTTTCCCCCGCCACTTTCCCGATGGCGTTCTTAATAACAATAACAATAATAATAATAATGGCCATCATTTACGTAGCGTTTATTGTGCTAAACGTTTTACACTCATTACCTCACTTGATCACAATAACCCTGCCTTTATTATCCTCATTTTACAGATGGGGAAACTGAGTGAGTGACCCAGCTAGGAAGTGTCAGAGGGCTGGATTTGAACTCGGGTCTACCAGACTCCAGGCCTAGCACTCATCCTCCGTGCCCCCCTGCCCTTCCCCTGCTGTGGACATAGAGTTGTTACCCCTTCCTCGGGCTGGACCCTTCACCAGACCCTGGCTAATAACCTTCTTCACCTCACCCCGAAGGCCGAAGGGCTTTGAGCGCCCATCTGCCCTGCCCTCCCAAGGGTGCTTGTCCCTGAACCCCACCACGGCCCAAGAGGGTGACAGTCTACCAGGCGCAAAGCCTTGATTATCCATCCTCAGGGCCTTCCTCACAGCTGCTAGAAAGGCAGTCTGGTCTAGGGGCAAGAGCACTGGATTTGGGAACGGGGAGCTGCGCTGGCCGAGATCCTCTCTCTCCCTGAGCCTCAGAGGATTGCTAGCGATCGATTGAGGATTAGCTCAGCTGGGCCCCTAGAGGCAGAAGGATGGAAATAGTCCTTCCTGGGATGCTGACTACCTGTGTGACCTTGGACACGTGACTCCGCCTCCCTGGGCCTCAGTTTCCACATCTCTAAAATAAAGTGTTGGACAAGGTGACCTCTGAAGTCCCTTCCAAGTCTAGATCTGGATCTGTGACCTTATTAGCACGGTGTTCTAGGTGCAACAGACGTTTAGTAATAGAATTAATGATTGCTAAGGGCCTTGAACTTGAAGCAGTGGTAGATGTTGCCAAGAGGTAAATTTCTGTTTGATATTAGGAAAAATTTACCAGAAGTGGAATGGGCTACCTCTAGTAGTGATTTCGGGGCAGCTAGGTGGCACAGTGGATAGAGCAACGGCCCTAAAGTCAGGAGGACCTGAGTTCAAATCCAGCCTCAGACCAAACACTTGACACTTACTAGCTGTGTGACCCTGGGCAAGTCACTTAACCCCATTGCCTAGCCAAAAAGAAAAAAAAAACAATAAAAGTAGTGATTTCTCCTTTACTGGAAGTCTTCAAGCAAAGATGGAATAAGTACTATTTGTCAGGTCTGAGTGGCCACCAAAGGCTTTGCCAACTCTGAAAATCTGTGATTCTCTTAGGAATTTACTGATTAAATCCTACTGAAGTTAGCAGTGATTCTTAACCTTTTTTTAATCTTGGAACCCTCTGGCAGTCTGGTAAGCCAATGGATCCCCTCTCTGGAGAATGTTTTTAAATGCATAAAATAAAATACGTAGGATTATGAAGGAAATCAGTTATCTTGAAATAGATACCAACACTTTTTTTCTTTCTCTTTTTTTTTTTTTGCTGAGGCAATCTGGGTTAAGTGACTTGGCCAGGGTCACACATCTAGTAAGTATCAACACATTTTTATAAAACAAGTTCACCTGTCACAGGTTAAGAAATGGCTGGATCATTGGATCATGCACTAAAGAGTTTATAGGGACCTTAGAGAACGTCATCTAGTCCAGCTCCCTCATATTACCTTCATACAGATAGAGAAACTGAGACTTAGAGAGGGAAAGGGGCTTGCCCAACTAACAGTTGGGAGGGCAAGGATCTGTGTAGCCAGGTCTTAGGACTCCTAAACCAGTGTTCTTTATCATGTATCTCCTTGGAGATTACCTAGTTCAACTCCCTCATTTTACAGGGAAGAGTGAATTCCAGGAAAATGGGAAGTGACTCACTGAAGGTCACCCAGGTAGAAACAGCACAAGACAAATAGACGTCCTGTTCTGGCACCCGTGTGTGACTCCATCTCTCAGCTTTCCCAGCACAGGGTTGAGGCTGGTTTCTCTTTAAGGACAGAGGAAGAAGACCTAGTCCTTCCCCTAAGGAGCTCCTAGGCCAACACAAAGCCACACAGGCCATAGAAGAATACTACAAATCAACATGTACCAATGAATGTTGTCTGTTAAATCCCAGACTACTGTGAGAAATGGAGGCAGGTAGTGATGGTCAGGTGGTTCCTAGAGTGAAGTGATTTGGAGGTAACGTGAAGAAACCCTGAGAATCAGTGCTATTTACTACCAGTATGACTCTGAGTGAGTCAGGGAACCTTTGTCCCTGGACCTCGATGTCTTCATGTTTAAAAGAAGATAGTTGGACTAGGTCAAAGGTTCTTAACCTGGGGCCTGTGAACTTGTTTTTTAAAATATTTTGATAATTGTATTTCATTGTAACTGGCTTCATTGGTAATTCTATGTATTTTATTTTATACATTTAAAAAAACATTTTAAGAAAAGGTTTCTTAAGTGTCACCCGATTGCCATATATGTCCATGTCACACAAAAAATCTTGATGACCTCAACATAAGTCCCTTCTAGCTCTAAAGATTCTATAAAGGTGAGTTGGGCCTTTTATTTGCTGCTGCTTACATCTGTTTCCTTTTGTCTTTAGTGAAGTGTTGAAATATCCCAATCTCTTCACTGCCAGATGGAGGTCAGCCACTCGGTAAAGGAGCGTACTATTGCTGAGAATAGCTTGGTCATCCTGCTGCAGGGTCTCCGAGGCCTGGTGACCACAGTGGACCTGCGGGATGAGACTGTGGCCCGTGGCCGAGTGGACAACGTGGATGCCTTCATGAACATCCGCCTGGCTGAGGTCACCTATACAGACCGGCAGGGCCAGCAGGTCCAGCTTGATGACCTCTTTGTGACTGGTCGCAATGTCCGCTATGTCCACATTCCTGATGATGTAGATATCACTGCCACCATCGAACAGCAACTTCAGGCCATCCATCGGGTGCGCAACTTTGGCAGTGAGGGTAAGGGCCGAAGGGAATTTCCTACCAGGAAGTACAAGTGAAAGACATTCTCCCTTCACTCAGATTCCTTCAGAGCCCTTGGCCTTACAGCTTTAGATGGGGGCTGCTACTGTGCTTCCTGATAGCCAGTTCTCCCCCATCGGGACACAGACCACAAGGAGAAGGACAAGTTCATTCCGAAGCCACATTTGCCTTTTACAATCCCCGGATTTGATCTGGGTACCCAAAATCTGATATGTCTGTAATCTTGGATTAGTTGAAGACCATTCCCCATGCTTCTTGGCCATTGAGGCTCAGCTAACTGACCAGTCGGACCCATTGAGCTCCTCGGTTCTGTATTAAAGGGTTAATTTCAGCCATTTTTAATACTTTCCTAAAATGCATTGATGATCTTTGCTGCTAAATGTGCCAGCCTAAGAGTATTTTGTGAATCCTCTCCACTCAATTGTTTACTTCTAAAACCAAACTTGGATGCAAACACATGAGTCCTAGGCCTTCCTAGGCCCTCAAGTCTCCACCTGTCTGTCCTTGTTGTGCAGAATTAAAACACTTACATCCAGTGGAAAAGGGATTGTTTGTTGTTGTTTTTTTTCCTCTGAATCATAGAATTCTAGAATTTGAAGATAGCTCAGAAGTCATCTGTTCAGAGCTCCCCCCCAGCGCAGGACTCTGCTGCAGCCTTGCTGACCAGGGCTCTTCTGCTGGGGCCTAGTTGAACACTTCAGTCGATAAGCTAGCCTGGAATCACGACATACACGTGAGTTCTTGCCAGTCCCTTGTTGGACAAGTCTCCTTATTAGGAAGTCCTTCCGAATGTTGTGCCTCCCTGTAACCTGCCACCACTCTTAATTCTGCTCTTTGGGTCCTAGAAACATAAGTTTGATTTCTCCTCCAAATGACAGTCCTTCAAAGAGTAGAAGATTCAGTTACCCCTAAACCTCTGTTCCGGCTTAAACATCTCTGTTTTCTCAGTCAAGGTGGTTTATTTGTTTGACCCTTGTTTCCTGAGAATGAGGGCAAGCTGTGGGTTCCTGGTTCCTAGGAGTTTAGCCTCAAGGGACTCCCTGAGGCAAGCAGAGGGAACATCTCAGGGTTTGAAATGATGAGATGAAGCCCTTGGGAGGAAGTTGAGTCAAAAGTCCCTGTTCGACAGGGCTAAAAATTACCTCCATGGCCTAGGTGACTGGCAATAATGTCAACAGTGCCACTGACGAGTGTTTATTAACGCTGAAGTGGTTTTTGTCGGTGTCAGCCCAAGAGGTTGTGGTCAGAAAAGTGTTTTTTAGGATGAGACTTTTCCAGTAGTCCTGTCTCGTCTCTACCATGCTGCCTACACAAAGTGGGACCACTCTCCCGTTTGGCTCTCCAGTGCATGTAACAGCAACCCCTCTGACTGCCCACGCTGAGGGGACAAACCCATCGAAAAACGTTCCCTGCATTCGAGAGACAAAGATCAAAGAACAAGAGTCCAAAGCTAACGTGCTTTATGGGAGTATGTTTTCCTGTAGTGGGGGGAGATGAGGAAAAGCTACCTCATGAAGTGTAGCTTCATGAATATATTGCTTGAGTATCTGGCAGAAGGAAGGCCTGAGAAGATCAAGGTCACCGCCATCTGACATGCACTTTCCTTGATAAAGGGCTGAAGGTTAACAAACGTCAGGAAGGAGCAGGGTTCTGCAGAGGGTAGGGATAATGTGATTTAGATGGAGGAGCAGACTGCTGGCTTTTAATATGTTCTGAATCTATAATGGCACCAGTGAGAGCAGACCCAGACAGAAGGAGCTAGGGACCCCTAATGGCGGCCAGATGCTGGGGGCATGAGGAACTCAGGATTTGGAAAGTTGTGTGTGTGGTTTGTCCTTTGTTCTCAAAGAGGACCAATGACTTCAGGAAGATGATGCCATGATTTGCAAGTGAATTGGATTACTGTGAGGGAGGGCTGTGCAAAGTCACCAGCCTCACCTTCTCCTTCCATCTGGGCCCAGTAGCCAGATACAGATCAGGACAACTGAAGATGGCCCAGATTTGGAAAGTAGTCAGGAAGAATAGCTAGGCTCACCTTGGACACAAGGACAACTATAGGGGTTAGAGCACTGGCTGTCTAGGACAGCATTTGTTTTCTTTCTGTGTAAAGCTCAGGTGAGAGGCCATATGGAATAGCGGAGGGATGGGCAGCCTGGGATTTTAGACCTGAGATCAAGTGCTATTTCTGATGCACACTAGCCCTACAACCATGGGCAAGTCACTTAGCCTATCAGTGGTCCAACCAACTCTCCAAGACTGTTACCCTTAAATTGCCTCTGTGGAGGCAATCTCCATATCTGGGGTTCCCAGTGATGATGTAATGGAAGGTCTGGGACTGCCCTCTCCCCACATAGGGATGATACCTGCATTACCAACTTTGCACTGCTATTGTGGGGAAAGCAATTTGCATACCTTCAATGACATGGAAATGTGAGATTATTATTAACAGTGTATAAATCACTGGATTACAGAAGACAGAATGATGGGAAATTAATAGAGAAATGAGTTAAGTAGCAGGCTGAAGGGTGACCAGCCCATATAGGCTACAAGTGAGTGTGCCTACTCCCCCACCACCACCACCACCACCAAATTTCTGTTAAAACAGTATAATAACAATAGTCACCAGCATTTATATAGTGTCTTGAGGTTTGTGTATGTTATCTCATTTGATATTATATGGCAGGCTTTTTAACCTTGAGGAGTAGGCTGCCAGAACACAAAATGAGGGATCTGGAGTTTTATTCTATTTCCTTTTCTGTCGAGGAAAGAGACAATAGAACTGGGAGAGACCACTAGAGAGGGTGAGGAGAGCTGAGTCCCGATTTTGCCTTGGCATGGCCAGATGGAGCTGTAATCCCCTGATTATGTCCCAACTGCTTTTCACTAAGCCCCCAGCTCAAGGGACAAAGAGAGAGGCCTATGCTCTCCCTCCCACTTCATCAGGGAAATTGATGTAACCACTGGTTACAAGCCCCTGGAAAATGGAAACCACCCAAACGACTTATTGCCCACCTTACCCTCAATGAACTAAAATTTAAAGAACACTATTCCCCCTTAGGGAAGAACAGGAATGAAAGAGGAGCAGTTAGCTATGAGTTCAGATCTCAGTTTGACCTACGGGCAGGCCTAAAGTCGTCTGCCTCTGGCTTTTTTTTTTCTTCCTAATGGAATGAGCAAGTGACTGATCGATTCTGAAAGACAGGAAGGGGCCTCAAGACAACAACGAGGCTAAGTATAGGAAACTCAGCGCCAGGGAAGGGTCACGTCCAAGGTCAGAAAGCTCATAGTGGCAGAGCCGGGGCTGCATGAGAGATGTATAGGATCAATGACCCAGATCCAGAACAGACTTCGGCAGGCATCTGGTCTAGCTCCCTCATTTTACAGACGAGCACACTGAGACCCAGGAAAGGGTCACCCAAAGTCGTACTGGTAGTGACAGGTAGGATCTGAGCCCAGGTCTTCTGACTCCAGGCCTGTGTCTACTGATTCCCAAGCCAGAGATCTCTTGTCCTTATATTGATGGCAAGGACTAAGAGAGGAGGTCAGATAAACAACTTGTGCTGGAAATCCACCTGGTCCTCTAGCTGCCTCTCCCCATAAGCCATGGCAGAGAAATGACTCCCACCACAGGACCTGTTTCTCCTGGATTGCCATATATCCCTTGCCCCCAGCCCACCAACCCAACCCCCTACCCCGTGCCAGGGAAGCCCCCAACCAGGATGGTGTCGAGGAGGGGCCGAGTTGAGAGCCTGAAGGGACAGGAGATGAGTGAGCGTGCCTGTTCCCTCTTCCCCCTCCTTTCTGTGACAGTCACCAGCTGCTCCGGGAGCCTGTGCGTCGTCAGCCAGCCATCTCAAGCTGTTGTGACAGGCGTCATTTTGTTATGGCAGTGCTGTCTGCATCCCCAGAGCAGGAGATGGAGTAGACTCTGTGTGTGTGTGTGTGTGTGTGTGTGTGTGTGTGTGTGTTGTCACACACCAACCTCCCCTCATCTATGTCCTGCTGACAGCTCCCCGGCTGGCGCCGTTGGGTTGGTGTTGGTTTTTCTCATAGCTTTGTCATCATGTGTCCTTCCTTTTTTTCTTTCTCCTTCTCTGCCCCCATAAAGTCCCATATTTTTAATCAGCTAAGGAGGCGGGGTGGGGGGCAGAGTGTAGAAGGGGTAGGGACAGGAGCGTGTCAATGTCAAAGAAAAGAAGATAACGAGTCTCCTGGAAAATCCAAACTCATACCGTGTCAGGAGCCATTCCAGGGACTTTCCAGAATCCCAGCCACATCCTGTCCCGTCCCCTGAGAAGGGAAAGTAGCATCTTGAGGTGAGGCTGAGGCCCATCTGGGCATCCCTTATTCAACCTCACCTAGCCACTCGGCCAGATTCCATGGTGCTCTAAATCAAGAGGGCAGATCTAGGAGCAGAGAAACAAATTAATACTCAGACTGCTTGGCAATTCCAGCTGCCTCAAAGGGGCATGGGGCTGCCTTCAGAAAGAGTGTTTCGTCTCACTGGAGGTCTTGAAGCACATGACTGATGGCCAGTTACTAGAGGTGTAGCAGGGATTCCTGCCCAGGTACAGGGCCCACTAGACCAGTACTTCATAACCTAAGAGGGTGCCCTTTGGCAGCCCAGTCAAGCTTCTCGGCCCCTTCTCAGGAGAATGTTTTTAAATGCATAGGATTACAAAGGAAACCAAAGGGTAATCAAAATAGGATGTGATTTCTTTCGCTATCCATTTGTTGTTGTCCAGTCATGCCTGACTCTTCATGACCCTATTTGGGGTTTTCTTGGCAAAGCTACTGAAGTAGTTTGCCATTTCCTTCTCTAGCTCATTTTACAGATGAGGAAACTGAGGCACACAGGGTTAAGTGACTTGCCCAGGGTCTCACAGCTAGTAAGCGTCTGAGGCCAGGTTTGAACTCAGAAAGATGAATCGTCCTGACTCCAGGCCTGGCACTCTATCCACTGCATCCCTAGCTGCCCTGTCCAAGTTCATAGACCCCTTGAAGTCTATGAGTCTATTGACCCCAAGTTAAGAACCCCTAAACTAAATGGTTTCTATGATCTCTTCCAGCTCTGAGATTCGGTGAAAGATTTTATCTACCAGGTTTCCTGAAAGACAAATCTATAAGCTCCACAACCCTGTCTTTCTTTGAAATGTTAACCCCAAATCTATGTAATTGGTTATAGTATCTGAGGCTTATAAGTGGACATACCTTTACATGGCTAAAAAGCAGGAAATTTTCAATAGGAGAGCACTGCCCCGAACCCTCTTGCTAAAGAATGGAATTTCTTGACCAGGTTGATGTGGTATTGTAGCAGCTCTGTGGATGGGGACTGGGAGGGACAAGAGGGCAGGTCCTATGGAGATTTGGTAGGGAAGGGGATCAAATCACACATATATACAAACACCCCAGGACCCATACTCCCAAGCCTTCGTAACACATACACACACACACACACACACACACACACACACACACACACACACACACACACACACACACACACACACACACACACACACAGCCCCTGGCCTACTTTTCTT